GCTGGACGTTTAGTTTTTTTAGTTTTTTTAGTTTTTTTGAATAAAAAGAAACTAAAAAAACTAAAAAAAACTAAATGTCCAGGAGTCTAGCCCTGTAGTTTTACAAAGAAAACTAAAAAAACTAAATGGCTGGACGTTTAGTTTCTGTGCGAACTGACACGCGCAACGAAATAAATGCGGAACGTCTCTCTAACATATATGTATATGTATATGTATATATATAGATATGTATCTGTATAATACAATTAGTTCTTTCCAAAACAACGCTCACGCTTTCCCATAGGCCTTTTCGGGGACTTGCGATCAAGAGCATCTTCTGCCACGAAGGGGCCCTTCCGGCCCTTCCTGCCTCGTCCCGATGTGTCCAACCGTGAGGTGGATGTACAGGAGGCCGTGGGCCGGACGCACACTGCGCGCCATGTGCACGCCATGCGCATGGTGCTGCGCATGGTGCTGCGCATGGTGCTGCGCATGTGTTCAGGTCAGTCTGTGTCCACCTATATATGTTGGTTTGTGTCAATGAGAGCAGATTTGCAACATGGGTTGACCAGGATTGACGTCGAAGTCGGGGAGTTGTGCAATTGATTGGTCGGCTGTTTGCAAGGGCATTGATGGAGGCCCACAGTTCCTTTGTTCTCGGGCCACACAATATGATGCATGTTCCACAGGCTCGAATCTCATGCCTGTGACAATCACTGAAATGATCATGAACGTGGTTTTCCACCTGTTTGTAGAGGAACATGTTCATCCAAGGGGGCATTTCCACTTCCATGATTACTTCAGGGAGTGTACCTTTTCAGAATGTCACGTTTGGGCCACCCCTCCTCCGCTGGGCCAGAACTGCAGTGGCCCGAATGCATCGCTCGTCAGTGGTGCAGTACAGGCAGGTTCTCGGATAGACTGAGGGACAATGACAAAATCTTTGCAGCATCATTGTGACCTGCTTTTGGCCAGGTGTTGTTATGGTTGTATCAAGACTGGAAAACCCCATCGCCTTGAAAGTCCACATGTTGGTTGCTGTTGCCTTGCTTAGAAACTGAAGGAACAGGAACAACCAAGTGCCCAGGTCACCTTGCAGTCCTCCTCCAACCTCTTTGGTGTTGTTGCTGCGTCCTCGGAACACATGCCAAGCCTCAAATGAACAAGCGTCACATGCCATGTTGGTGGGTGTGGAAATCCGAAGAGAGAAGAGTGCTCTTCAATCATCTTATCATCTTCAATCAGCCTCATGCAGAATGGTGTTTTCAGGGTATGGAGGAGGAGGATGGGAGTCCACCATCTACAAAAATCCGGGTAAAGCAAATAATGTTTGACACTGTTTGACATCTTCTAAATGATAGATGCAATTTGCGCATCCGTGAGAGTTCATACCGTCCAAAAGGAGCCATCTTTTTCTTCTCGGAGACGACGCTGAACATATCTTGTCAGATCAGTTGCTACCTCCATGCGATGTGCGCTGTCTTGGCCCTCCCTTGATAGAATCCAGGGGATGGTTAGGGTGTTGTTTCCAGACCTCCAGATCGCTACTAGGTTGGAGGCCATCGCTGCCAGGTTGGAGGCCATCGCTCTTAGGTTGGAGGCCATTTCAAGGGTTCTCATGCGTGCCCCTCCAGATGTCCCAGTCCACAGCCAGTCCACCTGCGACTCGCCTGGCTCGACGTCGCTTGGACTTGAGACCCTTGACCCTGCAGAACAAGGTACGGAAAAAGGTACGGAATGCACCACCCAGCGACCCGAGCCAATTCTGATGAAAAAGGTGTACGCCTAAGGTGCCCGATCACGTTGGACGACGGCGCCACGAACACCCACGCGCCGGGGTTCGCACGCCTCACCGAGCGCGCTGGGATCTTTTCCGAGGCGGATGGGCTGGAGACCTGGAATGCGAGCTCGCCGACCGCGGCATTGGCAGCCTACCGGAGCGGGGAGCTGAGTGGTTTTCAGCTGGGGAGAGTTCTACGCAGCGACGGAACGGTTCCAGTGGCCATGGCTTTTGGTAGTGAGAGGGTGGTGAGAGGTGTGGTGAGTGAGTCGCGAGATGGTAAGACAGATGTACCACAAGCAGCTGCATTTCTGCAAAAGGATGTGACAATCATTCTACACCCTGAGCGGACCTGATTTCGAGGCAACTCCGTGGCAGAGGCCGGGGACACCAACTCGTAGTATTGAGTAAATTTGATTAGTTTATCCACGGTTGTTGTTTTATGCCGATTCACTTTGCTTCATTTCTGGCATTGTACATTTATTTGCAGCTACGACCAACCGGACCCCATTAATGTGTCGCCTTTTGCACAATCGACACCTGCAGTTGTTCCTACAGTCCGCAACGTTGGTGACCAGTCGTGGATCAGTGACCGATCATCGCCAGTGACCGATCATCGCCAATCACCAAGGTCGAAACAACTGAGGTGGTCGCCTCACTGAGATTCTGGAACGGTGCAGTTGGTCAGGCTCTGAGCTTGCTTTCGGATGGAAGGAAGTGCATGGTTCCTGTCACTTCGTTTTTGTCACTGTGATTTTGCGCATCTCCAAACAAACTCTGAATGATTGTGTAAGAGACTGAGCCGAGGATATGAAACGTGCTGAACGGTTTTCCATGTGCCCTCCCACACCGTCAGACACCGTTTTTGAGGCCTGGCCTCAAGCTGTACTGCAGAGTTGGGCAACCCAATTTCCAGTGCAGCAAAGAGGCGATGTGCCAATTGGGTGAAGTGATGCGACGAGATTCGATGTTTGAGCACGCTCCGTTGACGCGCTCCATTTGGAAGCCAACGTATACTATAGGGATCGTGTGAGAACGAGTGTTTCTTGGCCCCCAGTCTTATTTGTTGTTTCAAGAAATAACATGAAATAGCAGAAGTATAGAAACGATCACGGGTCATGTTTGTGACAGAGTCTTCCAGCAACTCTCGAAAATTGTCAAGTACTTGTAACAATAACAATACCATGAATGGGCTCATGCGCGCTATGTCTTTGGTCGGGGTGATGAGCAAATTGCTTTGCAAACTCAAGCCCTTCTTTGATTTGATGCTCATTTGTCCTTCCATGGTTTTTGTTTTGGTGGTGACTGGCTCATATCACAGGTAAGAAAGTACTGTGGCAGACCTGCCTCAAGAGTTGTTTCTGAGGGCATCCTGGGAGGACAGTGACTGCGTTTTTGTCCAAACGCGTTTCTTTCGAGTTTCAATCTCGGCGAAAGGTTTTCCATCGGCCAGTACTGTTGATGACTGAACCCCCTCGTCCTGCCGAGCTGCTCGTCCTGCCTCGGCATGCTGAGATGTCCCACCGGGTCGGGGTCGTCCGAAGCAGCGGTGGCAGCTCTGAGGATTGCAGTAGATGGGGGGGCCACATTACCAGGCACGGAGCAGTGGGGCAGGAGCGGGCAGGAGTGTACTGTGTTCCCCGGAAGTTTGCAGGATGCCAAGGCCTGGCAAGAGTTTGACACTGGATTCTGAGTTTAATGCACTTGGAAGTGCAGCGGCAAAGCCATGTTGTTTCCTTTGAGAGAAACCATTGCTTTGCGTTTTTCTCAAACTGACGGCTTGATTTCAGCAAGTGCTGGTCATTGGCTCAATGCACGCACTTCGCCACCGATGTGGGACTTGGGCGGGTTTGATGCTTGCTTTTCTTTCGATGTTCGGTCCAATCTTATGTACAAGAGACACGGGTTTGGAACGTGAGACTTGGCTTCAAGGTGGGTCAACTTGCGGCTGATCAAGGGAAGCAGGTGGCGATCTTGTGGAGACTGCCGGGACAGTGGGACAGTGAGAGCAAGCACTTTTCCCCCAAGTGTAGCCTACTGCTAGGAGCAAACCAAGAGGAAAGACCAGAATGTATACTGTATATAGGAATCATAAATCAGTATATAATTCATGGTCACTTCATGATGTTTGTTTTGCAACTGTTTGGCTGCCATCTATCTCGCAAAGCACGAGAAAGCTGGATGAGTCAGAGCATGCAGAACGAGTCGACTGCAGAGACTCATCAGGTCAGCTTCACGTGCGATGCTCTCGAGAGTGGCTTCACTACCCTGGCATTTCACTGCGGTAGTCAGGCACGCGCGGGAGCTTCTTTTGTGTGGGCCTGGTTGGATGCGGAGGGTTACTCAGTTCGGAGGATGCATAAGTGCATGAAGAAGATAATTTGTTGATCAAGTTCAAGTTGTGCCTACATCAGGGTGAAACAACAATAAAAGTCTAAAGGGTTGAGTCAGCATGGGTCAGCTTCTGCTCTCCGACGAGTTCGCTTTTGCTCTTTGGTGCTGAAACAGCACCATGCCGTTGATCTCTTCAGCGGAAGGACCAGCTCATGGTCCAAAGGCTGGGTCCTTCAAACCAGAAGCTGTTCCGACCTGATCCCACCTGATCCCACCATTCCCACTGATATTGCCCCTACATGTTCCTTCCCATCCTCTCAGAATCCTCTCAGAATCCTCTCAGAATCCTCTCAGAATCCTCTCAGAATCCTCAGAATCCATTTCTTGAAGCCGAGAGGCCTTCGAGTTCCGCACCGGTGCAGAGGGCGTGGGTGGATTCTTGTGCCCAGGAGCCACGTTGCAGGCGGCTTCGATCCAGTCCGATCGGGAAGACGAGCGCAGTGTAGGACTCGCGCGTGGGTTCGAAGGAGCAGAACCACGTCCAGGGTGCAGCCATCGAAATCTAGCCCGAAGGCAGAAAGCTGCCGATGAAAGCAGTACTACAGTACTACAAGCAGCCTTGCAAAGGTAAAAGGTCCAGGTCTTCCGATGCATCGCAGCTTTTACCCCAGTCATAGTCTTCGACAGGCTAGGCCCTGTGGTTTGCAGACAATCTACTGGGCCACCCTGTACAATGTACCAGCTACTTTGGTGATTCGTTTACACTCAAAAGTGCTCAACGGCTCGTTTACGGCTTGATTTCTTCGCCCAATCGGACTGTCCGCCAAGCTGCAGGTCTCGTTGGTGGGGTTCCAGGAGGGGAACACTACTGGCAAGGTGCGCTGCGCTGCGCTGCGCGTTTCATCGCGACAGTCGTTTCATCGACGGAACTTCGGCATCTTGGGCCGATACAAGAGGAACGGGTCGCTCTGGTATGGCAAGGTTGACTGGAAGAAAGGCAGGCATTGTTAGGCATTGTTAGGCATTGTTAGGATGGTGGTGTTACCTGATCACTCAAGCAATTGTTATCCTTTTTTCATTCTTCAACATGCTGAACGAAATTTTGGGGCTCTTTGCCCTCTCCCCAAAGAGCCCATTAGGGAATCGGAAAAAAATACATTGTTGTGACCCCAGATATATTACTGGTCCTCTTCCAATCCATTGATGAAAACACACCCATCCGGCTAGGGGGAATCTGGCTTGGGATGTTTTGCAGACACCGGAAAAGGACAAGCGGAAGCCCAAAGCAGCATGCAAGATGTTTCGCAAGACTTCGGTGGGAAGAGAGTTTAGGTTGGCTAGCAAGAATGGGGGCAGACCCAAAGCCACACTTGCAAGCATGGTCAGAAGCTGCAGCAGCCGAAACCTACAAGATGTCTGCTGATTGGGTTCTAGGAGTCGCTCATGCGTCGTTTTGTTGAGGGCGAGGACATGGGAAGAGTCTTTGATCTAAAGTAGCTGGACTCTCTGGAAATCCAGAAAGTCCACCGTTTGAAAAGCAATCTAGCAAGCAAGCAAACATTGACCACCCTGGCTTTGTAGATGGTTTTCGCGGTCGGCAATAAAAACCCAGAGGTTCTGCAGGATCAATGCCTGATCATCAGCCTCACACTACCTGCCTCCCTCTCTCTCCCTCTCTTTTTGCTTGTCTGTTGGTCTGCAGGGCCCTTCTGTTGAGCTGGTCAGCAGTTCCGATTGCCCTTGTGCGCAACGTCCGGCATGCCCAGCATGCCCAGCGGTCTAGGCGCAATGGGTGAGTGAGGTGGTCTAGGCACCAGTAGGGTGCAGGGTGCGCAAATTCATGCTTAAAAGATCCTTTTTGGAGCCCCAAATGCAAAGTTTATTATCCACTAGCTTTAGTAGAGTCATGCAGCGAAGGCATTGGTGAAACAGAAGAGCAAACATTGTAATATGTGCGTTCAATCCTTTGTGTGTGTGTTATAGGGGTGACTGCTGCCCAGCCCACGGTAAAATCGTAAGTTGCTACTTTCATGCGGGCGAAGAGAACTTGAAGTCATAGAAGTGTTTTTGCTTTGACCCTGACGCCACACCTGACGCCAGAGATCCACACAAAGATCCACACAACCTGCTCCGATCCGCTACTGTAAGTATCATGTGGAAGACAGCGATGAGTGCAATCCTGCTGAGGTTGTCGGGCGTCGTGTGCCGTGGCAGAGGGATGGAGATCTGCGCAGGCCAACAAGTTCGGCAAGTGTTGAAGGTGAGTGAATCATGTAGGGCCTGTAGGGTTCGAATCACTGCTGTAAATGACATGAAGTTGATCCACCCCGGTTCATCCATCCCAGAATCCATGTTGCTCTTTGCCCTCCTTTTTGTCCATGCATTGGTCCATGCATCTCGATCCCAGTCTTCAGGAGGAGCCGCATGTCCATTTGGCTTGCATCGGAGCATACCTCGTGGTGCAGAACCTCAAACTCCTGAGACCTTTCGAGCCATGTTTGGTGTCGAGGCTAACGTCCAGTCGGGTCACCAGCCATGGGTCGGGACGTTTCATTCCCGGTCCGAGGAAGACGAGTGCGAACGGTCTCTCCGAACGACCGGGTCCCCGTGGTCCGAAACGCCTTCGACACGCGAACGTGTGGCATTGGCAGGTCTCCAGCATCTTCGTCCTCGTCGTCCTCTGGCTGTGGAGCTGAGCGCTTGCAGCGCTTGCAGGGCACCGAGAGCGTGGTTCCAGGGCACCGATCTCGGTGCCTGAAACAGATGGAGGGTGAGGATCAAGTCAAGTAAAGAGGGGTCAGATATGAGTGGAAAGACCAAGAAGGTGAAGGTATGTTTCAGGTCACAGGGTCAAGTTTGTTAGCACTGATCATCACCCACCAGGCGGTGAATCTCCAGGGCCCTGGCTGGAATTGCCTGGTCGGGCTATGTTTTCAAAGCCCGGTGGGCCAGAAATGCAATACTGATCCAGTCGCAAGCTTGCATTGAGATGCTTTCAGGGTGGACCCAATCGTGTATACTACTATGTAGTGTTTCCGCAGTCTCAAGTTGCAAAAATGGATCAGCCTTCGACGACCGACTTGGCATGTTGCTGCTGCAATGTCAGCGAAATCGAAGTGCTTGAACACCAGGCGCAGGAAAAAGACAGCGTGTGTGTCTCTAGATTGTGTTTGTGCCCAACCAAGACGAAGGCAAACGAGCGTCCATGCGCCCGAGTCAAGTCTTGTGTCACGCACCCTGCGGCTACCTTGACTCTCAGGATCCGAAGGCGCGCCGTTTTCGTTGGGATCCAAAGATGAACCGCGGTCGCCGCTCTCCGTCGCCTGTTCTTCCGGTCGCCTTGCTGCTGATGTTCGGAAGGCCCAGAGAAAAGGCGTCGCTTCGAGGCCGACGGCGGCACTGGCCGCGGGTCCCCGTGGGGTGTCCCCGTGGACCCTGGACGACGAACGAGCTGTTGGAGGAGTTCGATCCAGAGATCTCCAGAGCCCGGGAACGCTGGTTTTTTGGGCCGAACTGGTGGAGAGGGAGGCGGCGTGCTGAATTCGATGCAGGGCTCCCTTTTGGAATGAATGGACAGGTCTAGCCATTCTTCTTCGACCAGGCGTGCGTTTTTTGTGTCGCCTTTTTCTGGAAAACCTTGGAAGCGAGCTTCTTTCGAGCTTTGCCCCGTGTTCCGCTTGCGCCTTGTTGTCCCGCTCGCCAGCAACGCAGAGGCGTCCACGAGCACGAATAAGTAGAGCACACGGTGATGGGTTTGGGGATGGATTTAGAGACAGTTTGGTATTCGGATGTAATTGGAGAGCGCAATGCATTAAATGGCATGAAGGTGCATCTGCAGATACTGACATAGTGTACCAAACGTGAACAATTACCTGTGTCCTTTGCCGTAGTGACATTTACTTGCCTGTTTGAGGCTTCGGAGCAAGACTGTAAAGAGGCTTGTCCACATACAAACGTCTGAAAGCAAAGCATATGAAGCAACAAACCTGAGCTGACTGAGACCTTTGCCGACTCACCCGTTCGCGGTGAGTTTTACTTGTTCGCAAACGAAACTGCCAAGCTGCAACTTTGCCCTCCCTGGTTGCGTCATATCAATAGGGCTCTTTTACATCTTGCAGCCTGCAATCCCCGTGGCTCAGCCCACATCACCAGGCGCCGCAAAGCACAGCAGCACACGGCACAACAGAAGGAAGATTGCTTGCCCTGTATGTTAGCAAAGTCTTGACCAGAACTTTTTGTGCTTGCCATACCTGCAGGCAGGACACAGACCCATGAGTGAGAAGGGGATGGTGTAGAGCTCCAGCAAAAGCCGAGCAGGTCCAGCGTTTTGTATCAGATGGACAACGAGGTCAAATGTGAGGGCCAGACTTGTGCCGTCCGTGGTGACTTCTGCTTTTCATCGACAACTCTTTTGGTGTTTGTACACGATGTGTGAGGCCCAACAGCTTGCACTTGGCACTTAAAACAGCTACAGTCACCCGCCACGAAGCACAACACCCAGCATGCAACTTGGAGGCTGCTTTTTCCGCCTTGTTTGTGCGCACCCACCGTGCTCACATCCAAAGCACCATCAACATTTCACACCTTACCATTGCAGACTTCCTGACGCTGTGGCATTCCCTTGTCTTGCTTGAGCGCCGTTTCGGCAGTCAACAGCTGGTGGTACCCGGTCGCTGACCCTCTTTAGATGCCTCCACACCTCGAGGCTTCCTCGCCTTGAGGCTTCCTCGCCTTCGCCGCCACAGGGCCGAGGCGTCAGGTGACGCTCACAGCGGTCATGGCGGTCACGTGACGCCAGCGGGTTCCTGGCCTTTGTGCTGTCATCTCGTTTCACGAGGAGAAAGCTTTGGTCTCAGTGCCTTTGGTCTTCTCTCCGTCGCGGGCTCGTCGTGCACCAGTTTGGCACACGCGGGCCCCCCCTCGCTCGTGCGCTGTGCTCGTGCACACGCGGCATGCCGTTCCGCTTCTTTTGGGTGACGACAACGTGGCTCTGCTTCGCTGTGTTGGTTTCGCTTCCTTGAGTGGCCACGAGCCGCCGGGCCATATGGTGGAACGAAAAGTGGGACTGCCCGTGTCAAGTGCACTCCGTGTCCAGTAACCGAGGGGCAAAGACCACAGACATGGGAAGCATCGGCCATAAGATCGGCCATAAGCAAATGGGCTGAGCAAACGTTCTTATTCTTGAAGCAATTTTGCCTTTTGCCATGCAAAACATTCGTGCAACGGCTACCATCGTGCCACCTGAGCCACCGCACTGATCAATTGGAAGTGACAGAGCCGCTCAGGGCAAATCATTGCCAAACTGGGGGGAGACACTGTTCCAACATATGGGCATGAAAACACCTCACATTCTTTGCTGGCTGCATTAATAAGATCACTCAACCGGCCCTGTTTTTTTGCGTGTCTAAAGGGTATGGTTAACCATCGTGCACGACGCGGTGAATACCGTGTACTTACACCTGCGCTCCTGTGGGCCCGTCCCCCGCGCCCTCTGCACAACGGCACGGCCAGCGGCGCGACCCCAAGCGATCAGCGATCCATTGGCTTTGGACCTGTTCATGTTGAGGGCGTGTGTCAAAAGTGCCCTTTCTTTGTGATTTTGTTTCACCTTGAGAATGGCGATGCACATGTGTAGAAAAATGCATTTTGTTTAAGAGCATGCGTGTTTTCCTTCTTTAATTATGTGTCTTAGAAGATGTTATTTGTGAACATATTTGTTTGATACCATGCTAAGAACATGTTCTGGGGGTGATTGAACTTGAAGGTGAAATTCTATTAGTCGTGGAAGGGCACTTTCAACTAGAAAACATCCATCATGCACTGTCTGCTGACTACAATCAAAGAGGAGCATGCGTTGTGCCAGGCTTCATTACCTTGTATAGCACTAAACCATCCGCTTCTAATTGAAAATCATTGAGCCGAAAGTCAGTCTTGCACTCTTGCACTGATCTGATTTGTCCAATTTGCCCCAAAGGGGGACGCCATACATCCCAATTCTAGTTCCTGCGGACCTGCCTGTCGGCCCGACCTGCGGACCTCAGGTCCGCCTGGTCGTGGTATCTGCGTACCCCCATCTACACAAAACCACCCGCGGAGCTGCGGACACACCCACCACCACCCCAGCACTTGCGGCACATGCCAGCGGATCCACATGTCACGCCGCAACGTCGACCTGGCGAGCTGGAGGTGAAGTGTGCATGTGTAAGGAACGTCAGCATCCCCACCCCACCCCATGTTTCCGGATTTTGCGCCCGCTTCAGCGTTGGTTGAACCAATATGTACATGTTCTTTTATGCCCCCGCGCGGTCGTTTTACACCAACCACCGTTTACACCAAACCACGTTTTACACGAACCGCCGTTTACGCCCCTGCGCGGTTTACACCGACCACCGTTGACGCCAAACCACGTTTTACACGAACCGCCGTGTGCACCACACCACGCTTTACTCCAACCACTCACCGTTTACACCAAACCACCGTTTACACTAACCGCAGCTTACACCAAAACACGCTCTACACCAACCACTGCTTACACTCAACCACCTTACACCCACCACCAGTTACACCACACCGCGGCTTACACTCACCACTGCTTACACAAAACCACGGCTTACACCAACCACCGCATACACCAAACCACGGCTTACACCAACCACCGTTTACACCAAACCGTTTCACTCCTAGCTCCCCTGGGCATTGATGTGTGGCCCCTCCCGCGTCGTCCCGAAGTGCATCCAAATCATCGGATCAACATTTTTTTTTGGGGGGGGTGCTGGATTCTCTCCGTGCGCCTTGTAGCTTTCCTACCGGACCATAGTCCAAATAGAAGAAGATGCATGTTTCAATGGGAGCAACATCCCTGGCAGGACCCACAAAAAAAGAAACAATGCCTGAGCCTGATGTGGAAATGGGGAAAAGGAAGGTGAATATGAGACTTCATCCGAGAAGTGCCGCAGGTTTTTGAATTCAACGCTTTCAGGGGTATCAGACCCTGAGTGTTGGCAAGTGCTACATCATTTTGACCGTGAGAGCAGTAGGTTGAGGCGACATGTTTTTTCAATGGCCGACGCAAGGCTGGAGAGAGATTGAGGAAAACTGAGAATCTTGACCCTACACTACATACACTGCAGGCTCATCCAGCAGCATGTTTCCGGCTGTCACATGTGTTTCGTGTCTCCCTCTTCTCAAGTTCATTGTCCGCTGTGGTGTTTGCTCTCTCTTCTTGATTGCTGGTTCGTCCCACTCGGGAAAACAAAGCTCTCAGGGTTCCGGACAGCACTTGGCATAGGCGGAATGACTTGGTGTCTGCGGCACAATTTGAGATCCGGATGCACCGCTTGATGATGCATTTGCCCACATCTGCTTTTCCTCAGGCACAGCCCCAGGGATACTGGGTCCAACCATGTCCAACCCCAGCATTGGCACTCGCTCCAGCGCTGTCCTTAGCTCCATGAGGTAAGACCCATTTGTACACAACACTTTGCGAGTGACAACTAGTAGTCTGATGGGCGATGGTCGAGTGTCGGGCTGGTTGCGGGTTCAGCGTGCTCGACGCGGGCCCGCGGGCTTGGCGCGGGGTCGCGGGCCCGCGGGCTCTAAGAATGGCACACGGGCTCGTGCCGGGTTAC